TACTTATGCAGAAGTGTGTGATGTGGTTTCGAACACACTTTGCATGTAGTCGATGTGCATGCCTTTGTTGTGTGACCTTTCCTTAGGAAGTTTATGCACAAAGGGCACATTGAGTACACGAATGTATAAAATGGTCAATCGCTTGGCAGAACAAACACTTCGGACTCGGTGGCCGGTGGCTGCCAGTGCTATTTTTCCACCTTTCTTTGACGCATCAAAATTTTGTTTTTGAGTCCGGGAGCGACCAGAAGATGATTCCTCAGCAGATAAGTGCTGGTAGCGTCTGTTGAGAGATGCCTCGCAGTCTTCCCAAGACGGAAGTTTGCTATAGTCGAGGCTCTCTTCCCACTTTGAACGAGTATTGGGATCAACTTTACTGATGACCAAGTGTATGAGCATGTGATTCGTGATTCGTAGCTAGCGCGAACGTTATCAATCAACGAACGCAAAGAACTAGCAGACGAGCTTTGCATTTTCGGAAGGTTAAATAGTTTGGCAATGCTATCAAATACGATAAGACAGCTGTTGTCGTAAGCGCGCTTCAAAGCTGCCAGTGCCTTTGGATAGTTTTCCTCGGTAACTTGGTAAGCCTTAACCGTTCCTAGTGCTTCTTTCTCTAAGTATGACAGCAAATGATTAAAATTCTCAATATTTGAAAGTGATGCGTCATTGTCCACTAGATTTTCAAACAGCCCAATGAAGTTCTTATATTCCGAATAGCTACCACTAAACCGTGGCAACTTCATTGAGAGCAACTGTTTGCTATGCGAGGAAGAAGCAAATATTGTTGAATTCACTACGCTGTCCCTATGAGGCCTTGGCCGTCCGCCTTTGCTCATCAAAAGCGCTTTAGTTGAGACGCAGAGAATTTCCAAGTCTGCCCTTGACACTAAGGCCGGATCAATTCTGTCTAATTCTTCCTGCAGGTCAAAGGCTTTATCAATGTACCGGGACAAAATTTCCAATCGGAATTCAACTTCAAAAGGCTCGATGCTGCCAGAAGTTGTCTGGATAGAACTTTTTATTCGTTCGATATCGCGAACGACATTGGCATGTGACTGAAGCAAGCAGTCAAATTTATTTGAGACAGAGTCGTCTAATGCCCTGCTTCGGGTTTGCTTGCTTCTTTTACCAGGCATATTTACAAAACAAGAGAGAACGCTACAGTCGAGCAAGCCCGACAGTGTAATACCCTGTACCCAGGTAAACTTCCCTCACTGAGTTATATGCGCCCATAGCAGCAGCAAAAAGAGGAAGAAGAAGAGCGAACTTGTTGCTGCAGTTTGTGGGGTTGTACTGGCGAGAATTTGTTTCGCTAATAACTTTTCTTAGAATTGACCGAATTGAAACGCTAAAGTTACCACAACAGCGAACAGTCCAGCTGATTTCTACCAACGCCGACAGCGCAGTCGACGACGAATGCAAGCTACACGATAGCAGCGAGCCAGTAGTGCACCAACGATATGGGCACCGAAGCAAGAGAGCGGGAGAGAATCAGCAATATGCGGACGAGCCAACGCTGCTGCAGTGTGACAGCAGCACAACAACAATATCGAAACGAACAAATTAGCAGAAGGGCAAGCCAAACCAAAACTGCCAAAATCAGTGCACGCAAACGCAGTCTCGCCTGTTGCTTAAGTACAACTGTAATTCTCCTACTGCACTCGTAGCTAAGTATGTACCTATGTACAACGGCCGCTAGCGACGGCTTGACCAGTGCAGCAAGAAAGCAAGTACAGAAGAAATTAAGCAACGGGGACTTAGCGAAGTGCAGTGTCCTTTTCCATACACTGATTTGGCGCGACAAATTTCTAACCAACGTTTGGTTATGTGCTTATATATTCTGTATGTACGAGTATATACATATGTATGTATGTATAGGATAGCAAGAAAATAAATCACGGTCCACTCTATTTGTTAAATTTACAAATGAGTATACTTGTAGCATATAAATTTGTGCATATAAATTTATTAGTGAGTTGCACAAATTTATATGTGTATTTATGCACTTGTATGTATGTACAAATGTGTCGCAACGTGGCGTTTAAATGCACACACAAGTCGACAAATGTGGCCGCAATTTATTTTTCGCTCTCGTTACCTGCTGTGAACTTCCCTGAAAATTGTGGCAATTCATCGATTGGGAGTGTACCAAACGTCCAATTGTCCAGGAGGATCAGTTGACACCACCACGACAGCAATCGCAAGTCGAAAGCCGAGTCGATGTTCGATCCAACGAGGGAGTAGACTCCAGTAGTCCACCCGGGGGCGCCAAAATGTTCGGCTTTAAGCCGGTAACTTGCCGGTATTGCAAAAGCAAATGGTTCACAAAATGTTTATGTAAAAGAAAGACGATGTCTTTCTATGCGCGATTTATTGGGCTAAGAAAATAACGCACTCGCACAGCTCGACTTCAATATTATAAGTGTGGCTTTTAATTGTAGCGAAGCTACATACAGTACAACGGCCGCCGCCGTAAGCACAACATAAGAGCGGCAATTGCAATTATGCTGCTCGCAGGCAGCTGCAGTGTATGACAATTTTCTCTTATTTACTAATGCGTTGCTTTCAATTATAACTCTCTTAAATAATCTTAAAACTAAGTGAAATGCCTTTACAAATAGCTTTTGCAAGTGTATCGCGCATTGACACGTGCATCACATCATCGCCTTGCGTTTGAATATGAGTCTGACATCGACTATTTGTCACATTCACAAATTTTGAATCGGTATGAGGCATCGGCATTACATAACCAATTTGATGATACACTTGGCCTTGAATCTTGAAGGTTAATTGAAAATTGCGACCATCCTCATTCTGAACGATTTTTGCTGCTCCAAATAATGTCATTTAAAAGCATGAATTGAATTTGGACTAAAATATTGTTCTTCAATTCGCATTAAGATAAAATAATTAAACAAAGATTATTGATTATAAAGATTTTTTTTTAGAAAAATTGATTTTATTTCAATATGTATAAACAATAATGAAGTTCTTATATTATTTGTCTTCCATATCATACTTCCTTTAATAATATAAACGCTTGAAATATAATGCAGGACGACGTTTGCTATATTTATATTTATTTATTTATATAATGCTAGCTTAAGATTAAAATCTTAAAACTAACAGAAGAAAATTATGTTAGCAATGGCTACTAGGGCCTTCAACTATGTACAGCTATGTACATATATATATATATATCAATCAATTTATTTTATTCAAAATAGTCTCCTTCTGCTTTAATACAGCTTTTTGCACGATCCAAAAGCATGCCGAACGAGTGTTTTAGCTCGTTGGCCGGTATGGCCGCCAGTATGCCGGTGCAAGCCTTTTAAATGGCCTCTACGTCTGCATAACGCTTTCCTTTCATGGGCAAATGCATTTTTCTGAAAAGGTAGAAGTCGCACGGTGCCATATCAGGTGAATACGGCGGTTAATGGTTAAAATGTGATTTTTGGTCAAATAATCGGTCACAATCGTCGATCGTCTGAGCAATTTTTGGTCGTCAGTCAATTTGTGCGGAACAAACCGAGCACACACCTTTCGTAAGCCCAAATATTCGGTCAAAATGCGATAAATCGATGTTTTGGAGATGTTCAATTCCATTTCCATCAATTTCAATGATGATTTCGGCTGATTTTTGATGAATTCACGCACAGTTTCGATGGAATTTTCGGTGATCACGAATTTTGATTGGCCCACATGCTGATCGTCATTTATGTCCTCACGACCACTTTGAAAACGTTGAAACCACTCGTGCACTCTGCTACGGGATAGGCAATCATCGCCATAAACTTGTTCCATCAATTGAAACGTTTCGGTAAAAGTTTTACCAATTTTAAAACAAAATTTAATGGTGGCTCTTTGTTCGAAGCTCATTTTCGCACCGATAACACAAACATACTGACACTTAAAACGCAATAACTTCACTTCCAATAGGTGAAATGTCATGAAATTCTCACTGGACAATCGATAAAGATAGCAGATTCTAACGCACCAGTCGACATATAGATAGCGCCACCAGGAGGGGCTAGATTCAAAAAGTCCTGTTTACTTTGGAACGCACCTTGTATATATATAGAATAGTATATAGTATATAATATAGTATATAAATAAGCCATTACAGGTAGCTTTAAGCAGCATGAAAATGTTCTATACTTCCAATGGAATGGCTACGTTGCCATATAATAAAATGACTCTAGTTATACTCTGTACATGAAATGTACAAGAGTATATTAGGTTTGCTCGAGCTGAAAAATGTGACAGGCAGAAGGAGGCGTGGCAGACCCCACAAAGTATATATATTCTTAATCAGCATGACAAGGCGAGTCAATCTGTGTCTGATTTTTGTCCAAGATGCCTTATGTGAATACGCAGAAAATGTGTATTTTGGAATTTCCCTCCCTCCCCCCTCTCCAATGCTAAACGTGGTTTATTCTAACTCCCGTAATTCTTGGATTATGTTAGTGATTATGTGTCCGTATGCCAAGTTTCACTATGATAGACCCATTATAGCCATATATATATATATATTTGCTGCCCAAGCGCTGCCCGCATCTGTTGTTTATGCTAGTGCTTTGGTTGACTACAAACATGTTCACACAGACACGAATAGACGCGCATAGACATTCATACATTCATATAGACGTAATGGCTATGTAAATGTGCAAATATACACCCTTTACGTGAGTTCGAATACCGAGAGAGGTAAAATCGATCATAATTTTTTTTTAATTTTCTTAATTTTTTAATTTCGATAATTATAAAAGTTGGGACACCCGACTTTAGGTTCTTTACTTGTTTTATTGTACCATTGTTCAGGATTTGGTATGATGTTTGTAAGCCCCAGAAGGAGCCGTAGTAGACATGTTACAAATTGGTGCAAATTCAGGACTTAAAAATGTATTTGTTTGATCCAAATGATCGATATATAGTACTATGTATATACATACATACATATTTATGTGTTTTTAAAAAGCAAAGTTATTTTTTCCTAGGAGCAACCACTCCCCCATAATATTTCGCAAGGAGTAATAATAAGCAACCATTCATTGGTGTTACAAGGAGTAACGAGATCAACCGCTGGTAATTATTCCTGCGTTGGATTTAATGCTGAAGGCGAAGGTATCAGTTCTGCATTTCCTCTGAATATTTTATGTGAGTCTACAATGAATAAAATACTTACTTAATACTTGCTTAAAAAACAACCTGTTTCTTAGACGCACCTACTTGTGCACAAAACCAACCAAAAGTTTATGGTGTGGCGAAACAAGAAGATGCTAAAATCAAATGTGTTGTTGATGCAAATCCTCCAGAGGTAGATTTTAGTTGGACATTTAACAATTCTGCTGAAAGCATTGATGTTGCAACAAACCATATTGTTCGATCAGGTAGTATTTAAAAATGTAATTTTCCTTACAACTCTGAAATATTCTACATTAATTCTAGGATCAACTTCTACAGTGACTTATACACCTATTACTGAGCTGGACTATGGTACACTTCTGTGTTCAGCATCAAATAAAATCGGAAAACAAAGGGTGCCATGTGTATTTCACATCATTGCTGCAGGTGAGACTTTCAGTTCCTAATTACGACTGGTGCATATATTGGTCTTTATTAAATATTATTATTACTATTATTATTCAATGTTCTATTTTATTCGTGGCGATTGATCAAACTGACTTTTGAAATAAAAATAAACCAAAAGCAAAAACCATAAGTGTATAGAGATTTGGGCATTTTGCTTCTTTTCTCAATCAACTATATTCGAATATGTATTATCATCCACACCTCCGCAAAAATTTTCAATTAATAACTAAAAATATTGCTAGTGCCTGCAAAAAAGATAACAATATGAGAGCTTTAGTTAAAATTTGAAATTAAAGTAGAGAATTCTTTATAAATTACGTGCACAAAGTTTGGTTTATGCAATTATGAGCTTTACTATTGACAAAATTCTGTAGCTGGGAGAGAAAATAAAAAAAAAATTTTAAAAACTCGCCAGGGACTGCAAGAGTCTACATAACAAGTTTGATTAATATGTGCAAATTCGTTTCCTAAATTCAGGTGTTTTCACAGACAGACGGTCTAGATAAATTTTTTTTCGTCATGCTGATTTTGAATATGCATATATATACTTTCCTTTCAATTTACCTTTCCGGTAAAGGGTATAATAATGGAATAAATGCTGCAATGACCAAGTATTTGCAGTAAGTGTTGGTACCCGGCTCAGTATGACTACTACTGACGCAGTATTTAATACTCTATACATGAAATGTACAAGATTATATTAGATTTGCGCGAGCTGAAAAATGTAACAGACAGAAGGAGGCGTGGCAGTCCCTACAAAGTATATACAGGTATACTCGTAGTATTGATCAGCATGACAAGACGAGTCGATCTAGCCCTGTCTCTCCGCCTGTCAGTATGTATGATCACCTAGATCTCAGAGACTATAACAGATAGAGACACCAAATTTTGCATAAAGATGGCTTATATGTGTACGCTATACGAGTTAGTTTTATTTTTTTGATTTTCGTCCGCTTTGGGTGATTTTCGCAAACGCCGTTCGTGTAATCTCGTATAATTTTAGTCTCAGGTGCCTTCTATGAATACGCAGAAAATGTATATTTCTCCGCCGCGATTAGTAACTTTCGCTTTGGCAAATACCACCAGTTAGCTCTTATTTGTCCGTATTATAATATATCAATTTGAGAGGAAGTTATAGCCGTCAAAGCAATCTCTGCCCAAGCGCAGACCCCATCTGTTGTTGCTGCTGCTGCTTTGGGTCAACCTTGTCCTGCATATATTCTCGACCACAGACACCCATAGACACACATAGATAAGCATAGACACAAAATTCCTATATAAATGTGTAGTTATACACCCTTTACGTGAATTCAAATTTTTTTATTTCTATAATTATTCTACACATATGTATTTTCATTTACTTAAATTTTCTTAAAGCTATTAATTTTACAGATATGACCAGAGTATTTCAAAGTCGGGACACCCGACGATTTTCGGCTTTGATGCTTGCTCTTTAACGCAATTATCGGCTTTCTCTTCTTGAAGGATTGTATTTTTGGAATATGTTCCGATACAGCTTCATACTTTCTCTTTTTTATAATTGTTTCGATTTCAAGCTTGTCCAACAATGAAGTCACCTGATTATACTCTGTACATGAAATGTATAAGAGTATATTAGGTTTGCGGGAGGTGAGATATGTAACAGGCTGGAGGAGGTGGGGCAGACCCCACAAAGTACATATATTCTTGATACACATGACAAGATGACAGGACTAGATGGACATCTAGAGCTAGACCGAATTTTGTGCAAATATGCCTTATGTGTGTATGCTGTGCATGTTTGTTTTATTATAGCCTGTACCCAAAGGCTGAAAGGTGAAAGGCTATACTAGTTTTGTGCGCATGTATGTAACACACAGAAGGAGGCGTGGCAGACTCCACAAAGTATATATATTCTTGATCAGGATGAGAAGCCGAGTCGATATAGCCTTGTCCGTCCGTCCGTCTGTCTGTCCGTCTGTCCGTATGAACGCAAGGATCTCAGAAAGTATAAGAGCTAGAATAACCAAACTTGGTTTCCATATTCTCCTAAGACCGAGAAAGTACGAGTTTGAGTTTTTTTCGATGCACCCCCCCACTCCCTCGCAATTCGTGTTTTTTCTTATAACTTCCGCAATTCTCGGAATTTTGAAATCAATTTTGGTAGGTACATCCAGTTAGTACTAATGTGTCCGTGTGCCAAATTTCATTATGATAGGTCAATTCTGAAGAAAGTTATAGCCATAAGTAAAATCGCTGCTCATGCGCTGCCTGCAGCTCTGTTGGCAGTAGGTACGTGATGTAAATGTATGCTGTTAAAACTGAACATAAACATGTATTCTAATTTAATTTAATTAATTCATTCATTCATTCCTTTTTTTTAATAATTTAATTTTTTTTTTAAATTTTTTTAAAATTAAAAAAAAAATTTTTTTTTTAATTTTTCTTTTTTGTGGAGAGTTCAGGCTATTTTACTGTCGGGCTTGCTCGACTGTAGCGTTCTATCTTGTTTTTTGGATCTGTCTGTCCATCTGTCCCTTTCCCCAAGCCTTCGCAATTAGTTACTTGGAATTTTTCACTCACTCGTGTTCACGAGAGCAGAACAATCAATATGCCCCAAATTTGTACACTAAACGTCACAATAAACACCAACTCACTAGCACTACAAGGACCAGCCGTCTTAAATTCAACGGGAAAAAGCCCTCTACATTTGGCCATATATGAAATATTCCGTGGGACTCGGCGATACGAGGTCTGCATTTCAGGTGGAGGTTGGCCTGGCAGGCAAGCGATAGAACCCGAGTGAAGTGTGATGTATACGGACGCCGTTGTGGGTGCCTTTGTGATTCTCATTGTGCCATTGTGCTTAGTGTTGACGGCGCTCCACTGCCAAAAGTTGATGTATCTTTTAGAATGGTCCTCCTGGCAGAGCGTATGTGGCAGGCAGGAACGCGTGGGACTGCGCTGATGCAGAGATGTGGGTCATAGCTGCGCCTGTGGATAAGCACCTGAACTTGCCGGTAGGCGTATTGCTACTGGGCCGGCCAATATCCAACCGAAGATAGTCTCTTGGCCCAATAGCGTGCCGAAAATGTTTCGTTGGAGGCCGTCAAATAAAATCGATGGAAGCATTTCCGCAGCGATAAGAAGAGAAAAATAAGAGGTCAGCCAACGGTAAATTTGGCAGGTCTCTCAAGGCGTCGTGGTGGATCGTGCAAGATGGTAGATTCCCTGCCAAACTGCAGTCTTGATTTTGATGGTGATACGGCATACAGATATGAATATGCCTTCTGATCCAGAACCGCTCAGTGCACGTGGCTTGTGGATCGTGCCCGACTGAAGAATATTCACTACGGTCCTCCTGGCAAAAGTACACCTTAAATATTGCAGAAAAAGTGGTTTTGCACGATGGATTCGGGGAAGTAGCAGCTGTAGCATGCGTGGAAGCGCTTATAGCTGGGAACGGTGAAGGAGCACCACGATGCATAAGTATATGGTGGCGGTCTTAACACGTGAAGCAATTATGTTGACTCGTACAATCGTTGAACTGATGACCCCTTGCGAAGCAGTTAGCATATAGTTTTTATTTTTAAACATTGGCTTCCTTCTCCTTAACGAACATTTGTAGAAATCGAGGGCACAGACGGATCGGATGATTTTCTTTAGCGCAAAGTGAGCAAGTTGATGCTTTGATGCTGATCTTGGCTTGAAACAGTTACTCTTTTGAGTGCAAACTCTTTCCGTGAAGGCAGCTTGGATTGATTCAAACTCAGTCCAAATTGGAATATCGGCTTTATCTATTACGGAATTCTCCCATAACGATAGCATCATGATCGGAAGCTCGGACAAGTATAAGACACCAGAACACAATCCCAATTACTGGTTTCGATCTTTAAATGCTCTAGAGCAGTCAAGCACCCCTGGATCGTTGTTTAGAGTTTCTTTAGTGCAGCTTCTTACTCTCTATCTATAACGGACTGATTCTGTATTTGCTCATTCGGCTGAGCCGTGCACTGCTCATAAACTGAGTAGCAGAAGTCATACTTCGCTTGGATGAGGAACAGCTCACTCCTGCTTTCCTTAGTGGCTGCCAGGGTAAGTGTTTTGGAGCATATCTTACTTTCCTGCTCCATTTTGAGCAATAATGCCTTAATCTGGTTACGGCGGACTATTACGCTAGTCATTACAATACATATACATTTCCAATTCAATTCAGCTTAAGCTTAAGCTTCAGTTACAAAATTTGATTTAGTTTTAATTGACGTTGAAAAATTGCATTTAATTTTAATTTTATTTGTTTGTGCGTACTACTGATATGTATAGTTAAGGTTATTTAGATGTGCCATTGCAAGTGTGCTTAAGTTTTTAGTTTGAAGTGAGTTTCGTTGGTTATTGACTTAAAGTGATGCAATAGATCGTTCCACAGCCTTTCCGAACTTGTTAATTTATATCTAGTGCAGACCAAATTATTTGTTCTTCTTGAAGTGGAGAAACTGAATCTTTCGTACAAATAATTTGGTTGTTTATGTATTATAGTTCGATGTAAGAAAATTAATTTGGTTTTTTGTGTCATTGGTACAGGGTATTTAAGAGTTGTGCTTGATCGACTTAGGCATACATTTATTCTTTCTTTTTTTTTTTGGTCCCACGCCAATTTGCGGAAACGCCAACTAATTGTTAAAAAAATACAGCGCAAATGTTTGAGAAGCGCATCTGATCCCATTTATGAATTCCACTTTTATTGCTTATGTAGTACTGATATATCTCTATATCTATAAAACAGTTTGTCCTGACTGACTGATTGGTGATCAACGTAAAGCCCAAACGGTAAAAGCTAAGATGCTGAAATTTGGACTCAAGTATCCTTTCATAGTGTAGGTGCCTACTAAGAAGGGATTTTGGAAAATTCGAGCTCCAAAGGGGGAAAACAGGCTCCAACGTTGGTATGAAAAATCTACACTTTTCATCTGATTTCAAAGGCATTTCAAAGGCAGGGATTT